TGTCAATACTATATCCAATCAGAGTTGTAATATGCAAACTACTGTCCACAATATCTCCGGCTCTAGAGAATAGCAAATATGAAGTCTTGTTTGCATTCACGACTAATTTCAAATTAAAAAGAGCATCTAGAAATTCCTCAAAGGTTTGTTATATGATTTCAGTGGCTGAGTGTGCAGTGTTTGCAAAGCAATAAAGACGTGTATCATTCGCATAGAGATGGGCTTTACAATTTGTTATGAAGCAGAATGACAAAGCTGCGTGTTCAGTAACAGCACATTTTAAATCTCAATTGAATGTATAATTATCTAGATACATGGTTTTAAAATAATGTGCATTACTTACGAGAAATGAGCACAATGAATATCTATAACCCTCTACTATACTGTGTTCATAATTAATTTATTACTTGGTGCTACAAACACAAATGTTATTGTGATACGGTTACTGTTTTTTTTGTGATGCAAAGAAAAGAGTTCTGCTAATTGTGTTTTTCTCTTGTCTGTTTTATTTAGTACACTATGTTGCTCATGGGTAAGGACCTATTCTTCTACCATTGTTATTTTTTGCAACTACTTATCTACTTGTGTTACAATAACTATTAAAGTGAAACTAACCTTTATGTTATTGTAAATGTGATATCATTCATCTATCATAATACTAACACAAACACTACTACAATAACTTTTTCTCCTCACACAATATTATGTTCTGCTGCTGAATCTTCTCTCCATACATCAGGTGCATTGGCAAGGCCCAAGATCAGCAGGAACAGCAGGAACAGCAGGAACAGCTGGCCAAACGTTCATTTGATGCCGACCCTCAGGATGGTAACCCTAGATTCAACTAGACTGAGGGCCACTCCAAAGCCATGTATTGTTCAACTGCGGCAACCATTTGAAAATATACATGCTTTGACGTCATCGATAAGTAAATTGTGAATTCACTTTGAAGAATGACAGTTCTGAATAAATTTGCATTTAAAAATTAAAAATGATAAAATGTTTTTATTTATTTTAAAGCGATCCATTTTAAGGAAGTGATGGGAGGAAGGGGCCTTGGGTTAAATTAATTTGGGTTTGAGGTTTGAGATTAGGTCAACTATGTATCTCTCCTCAATTATATGAGTCTGTTTGCTCTTCAGGTGAAAAAAAACTTAAAGCTAGGGTAGGTAATTCTATTTTGTAAAAAATGTTTTGGTTATATTTGTCTAAATTTTCTTTACATCCAAAAAGCAACCAATATACCAAATGTTCTGATAAAACAGAAGAAAATAGAAATTAATGTTTTCACACCGAACGCGACGCAAATTTTCGTGCCACGAGATTACATAGAAAGTCAATGGACAGATCAGAATCAACATGAGTAGACGCGTAATTGCGCCGGGCGCCACAGATGATGTGAATGAGGCAAATTTTGCATGTTGTTGTGTTGCGAAAGCCAATCGGCTATGGAGGAAAAAAATATTATATGTGTATAAATGTACGTGCATAATTCACATGGTAGTATAAACAATAATGACACTGCCGTATTTACGCCTATATGACGTTATTTTGAGGGTTGATTGAGCAGCTACAATGTTGGCAAAGCTAAGCAACAATTGATCCGAGCTACATTGAGAAAA